ACGGCAGAGAACTGGTTTCCAGTGGAGGTGTTTTATACCAGTGGTCTCAACCTGCTGCAGAGCAGGTTAGCCATTCAGCTAAGTTACCATGGTGATGGACCCAGTAAGAAGAGAACCACTATCGTAGGACTGAAGACCCAGGATTTACCCTGAAGCTACCTCGCTAACCCCAGATCCTGCTTCTAGTCCAAGCCCCAGGTCTCATTGTGGTTCTGTAGGCAAGTGTCAGGTGTGAACAACATCACTGCAGCCTGTCTTCTAATAAAACTTCAACTCTTCATATGCTGTTGAGTCGTTAGTCCTGTCAAAGAAACATCACGTACAAGCACCTGGAAAGTGTAGAAAGATGAAGTTCTGAGCGATTAGTGAGAGCTGAGTCCAGACCCGATCAAGAGAAAGGAATCAGCATTCATTGAACTGGTTTTTATTTCTCATTTTGACCAGTAAACCAGTGAACAACAGTCATCAATAACAGAGTCCTCGTGATCAGTAAGTGAATCAGAATCTGGACCTCCTGCTTTGTTTGAAGGAACTTGATCGAAAATAATTAAGTGAGAAGCAGGTTTGGTGACCTCATCGCTGCCCGTGGTGATGTCACAGCGATGTCATCTGTTGCCGGTGTTCTGGACAAAGTTGATGGAGTACGAGCCGCTGGCGGCGTCCTGGTTCACCTGGAAGTTGTTGGTGGAGAGTCCGAACGGACGCAGGATCATGTTGCCCAGGTCCTTCAGCTTACCTGCAGGGGTCACCAGAGGTCAACAAAGATCAATAATGTGATCGGTGTCTGCTATCGGCATGCTTTTATTGTGAAATTACAACAACAAACACAAGCATGAATGTATTAATGATTGGGGGATTAGTAAATGGGCCGCAGGGTTTTTGACGATGATCAAATAAGTAATTGGTTCTGCAGATAACATCAGTGTGTTTATTACTGATGCGTTATTGATTACTGATCTCGAACGTCTCAGCTCAGCAGCTGTCTCTGACCCGGCTGTCATGCTTCTTCACGTTCTGACCTCGTAGTTCACCTGTCACTGACCCTCCAGGTAAACCTGAACCCACAGGCATGAACCATGACACCACAAAAAGGTCTGCCTTAACATGTTCAGGTGTGTTGTGGTGACGTGTTCAGGTGCGTTGCGGTGACGTGTTCAGGTG